CTCCCCATTTTGTGTCTTCTTGAGAGGTACTTAGCATTTCTTTTATTAATCTATTTATTTCTTGCCTTACTTGGTTAAATATTTCATTTTTGAACTCATCTATGAGGTCCCAAAGATATCTCTTTATGTCCACTGGTGCCGTGTCTGATATTGTATGCTTGCTGTCCTCATTCTCCTTTGTATTTACCTGTCCTAGATCAATGTTCTCAGGGTCGGGGGCTGGGGGCTTTTTCTTGTTGCTTCCTCTTCTCATATTTTTTGTTTCTTCCATACAAGTGTATAGAGGAGGCCCCAGTTTCTTTTTTTGTTGGTTATGGTTCTTCTGAAGAGCGCTGGCTAGGTGATCCTGCCCCCACCAGTGTGCTATTGTGGTGCAACCAGGGGCAGCATATGCTGGCCCCTTCCCTCTGGGTCAGTCAACCTGCTGAGGCCTTCACTGTGTTAGTGTGCGCCACATGTTGGGAATTGGTTTGGGATGGCTTATTGGGTCTCAGCCAGGGGTGTGACGCCAGCATACCCCACCAATCCTGTCTGGGAAGGAAACGACTGACTGAAGCCACTGCTGTTCCTTGTTCTTGCCAGTCCTGCCCGGTTCCAAGATGTGGAACCCTTTTCCATGGAAGGGTTTTATTCCCCGCACTCACTGCAGGTTGATGCAAGTCCCCTGCCAACTCAGCTCTCTGTTGGGCCTGCCGACTCCTGACCTCGGTGCAACTTTGGTTCCAGTGAGTACAAACAGTGGGAGTTCAGGGAGCTCAGTAAGTCGCAGCTGTTCAAGTTGGGGCACTGCAGTGGGAGCAGTGAACCTTTAGCTGTTCCAATAGTAGCACCGAGACTGCATGTTTGACTGGTTCTTCTCACCTTAGTTTCTTCCTGGGTCAAGAGGATCCATCTCCCTCTGTCTGGGATTCCCCATGCTGTGTTATTTTGGCATCTAAGTTGACTATCTCCTCGAGTTTCTGTAATCTATCCACCATTTTTACCGGAAGCCCCAGGTCAGCTGACCTTAATCCAAAAGTTGGACAAGAGCCCCTGCTCTACTCCAGTAATGGCCCTGCCAGCTGAGAAGAAACAGGAAGGAAGGTGCACAGCCCCCCATCCTCCAGCAGCAGACCTGCCAGCCAGGGAGAGCCAGGAAGGAGGCCACACACTCCTGCCCCCAAGACACAGCCCCCACCTGGGCTGTGAGACAAAACCTACCCCTTCACTCCCCATAAACACCTGGCTGGTTTGGAGGAACACAGGCTGAGATGACAGCAACTGAAGTAAAGAAACAACCTAACACTTGCATTGTTTGATTGACTTTGCAAGCCTAAAGCTGGTAGTCTGAGCAGCTACTCGGAGGCTAACAATACACAATACAGTAACTACCATGGATTTCCTACTGTCTTATCACTGTTCTGTTTCATTTCATTTTACTGTTCTGTTTTATTCTCTTTAAAATAAAAGAATTTTAAGAAATAAAGCCATGTGGGCTGGGAGGTGAACCAAGAAACCAATCTGTGCTCTCCTGTGAGCAAGCTGGCACACAGGCTCGGAGACAAGAAGGGTGTGCTCGCCACACACACCTGGTAAGCAGCTGGCTGATTTGGAGGAACACAGGCTGAGATGACAGCAACTGAAGTGAAAAATAGTAACGACTTAATACTTGTATTGCTTGACTGACTTTACAGGCCTAAAACTGGTAGTCTGAGAATCTATTTAGAGGATAACAGTATGCAACACAGCAACTATAAGGAATTTCCTTCTGTCTTGTCTTTGAAATCCAACATTGTTCTCACTGTTTTGTTTTTTTCCATTTTATTGTTTTGTATTATTCCCTTTAAAATAAATTTTAAAAATAAAATAAATAAAAACAAAAGTTGAATAATGCTCTCAGAGATGCCCATTGGAAGTGCATTCTCACACACTGCTGGTGTGACAAGTAAATGGCACAACCCTTACCATGTTTAACAAAAGTACTTCTATATGTGGCCACTGATCCAGCTCTAATGCTTCTAGAACTTACCCCAAAGAGACACTTCTAACATTACAAAAATACACGCATATTCTCTGCATTGCTATTGGCAACAGCAAAATACTGGAAACAAACTAAATGTTCTATATAGGAGACTGACTAGGTAAAGTATTGTACATGTACACAGACAGACAGACAGACACACGCACACACACACATGCAGAGCAAGAAGGAAGGAATCTTCAGTGATTTTCAGAACACCTTGTCAAGCAAAAATACAAGGAGGTGTGCTACTTTTTGTCTAAGAATATTTTTTTCTTTTTCTTTTGCAAAAATGAATACAGCAAAGAGTGTTCAGATGTGGATGTGAATATTTCAAAAAACGCCTACTTGAGTAAGCTCTTATCTTTAGTATTACATTGAAACAAGTAAGCTAGGTGTGGTGGCACATTCCTGTAATTCCAGCATTCTGAGAGGCTGAGGCAGGTGGATCCCAGTTTCCCCAGCCTGTGTGACTGCATTTTCCTTGAAAATGAGGCCTACTCAGAAAATAATCAGTCTTGAAAACTAGAGATCAACAATGCCGATCCCAGTCACCTGGCCTTGCCTGTTGTTGCAGGGCAGCTACTGAGCAAGAAAAGAGTGAGGTATAATCTTCTGCACAGCACTGGCCATTGCCATGGTAACAAGCAGCACTTATTTCCCAGTTAGGTCTTATTTGGGGGGAAATACAGAATTTAGCAACTTGATAAGACCCTGTCTCAAAATTTAAGAAAATTAAAAAGGGTGAGGATGCAGCTCAGTGCCAGAGCCCTGAGTTCAAATACCAGCACCATGAAAACACATTGACAACAACAAAACTCGGGAGTCCAGAATGACACGACCCAAACATAGGTGGAGAAAAAGAGAACAAGAGGATGCTTTTCCTTGCATAAGAATGCCAACTAATGATATAGATAGAAGGAGTAGAAATAGAAGCCACCATCGTAAGAACTGATTCAGCAGGAGTCACCTCAAACCATGGAAGGAGCTCTGAGCAAAGGCGAGAGGGAGCTAAGACTTCACCTGCACCAGGCACCGAATGCAGCCTCGTCAGTAAAAGCAGAAGCGACATCAGCCACCCCCAGCGTAACGGTTTGCTGGTAAGGGCACAACATCCACTCTGTGCTCCTGCCAAGACATTTAACCTGAATATAAAGAAGCAAGCGACCAATCCACAGTGAGGCATTCTTAAAAAGAGTTTGCCTAGACTTCTGAAACATCAGTGTCAGACAAACAAAGAAAGAAAGAAAGATAGAGAGAGAGAGAGAGAGAAAGGAAAGGAAGGAGGGACAGAGGAAGACACTGTGGAATATTAAGGCAAAGAGACCTGATAACCAAATGTAATACATTGTGCTTGATTGGGTCCTGGATCCTGGAAATCAAAACAATCCAGGGAGATAATTATGAATATGCTCTGAATAGCATGGTATTATGCTAATCATCTTTTTCTTGAGTGGATAATTACATTGTAGTTATATAGGAAAATATCCTTGTTCTTGGAGGACACGTTCTGAGTAATTGGTGTGAAATATTGTGGTATCCCTGTTTTCTTTCAAATTATTCAAAGAATAGAAATAAAACACAGGCGAAAAGGATTGGTGCATCTAGGGGAAAGCAGATGGGTGCTCTTTGTCCTAGTCTTGCAAATTTTAGGTTTGAAGCTTTTAAAAATAAAAGTGTGGGGGCTGGGGATTTAGCTCAGCGGCATAAGCGTCTTCCTTGCAAGTGTGCAGTCATGAGTTCGATCCCTGGTACCGATAAAAACGAAAAAGACAAAAAATAAAAAATAAAAAAATAAAAGCGTGGGGCAGTTTATGTCAAAAATATTTCTACAGACCTAGCATGGTGACTCACGTCTGTAATCTCAGCATTCGGGAGGCTGAGGCGGGAGGATCATAAGTTTGTGCCCAGAGTGGGCAACTTAGTGACCTAGTGAGAATCTGTATTGAAAATGAAAAAGGGTAAAGTAGGGATGTAGCTCAGCGGTAAAGGTCCAGGTTCAGTCTCCAGGAACACACACAGGCACGCGCACGCCCACGTGTGCAGGTGCACAGCCTACAACTAAGGATTTATAAGCCCTAATGGAACCCGCCTTCTTTCTCACAATATTAATTGTCAGCAAGAAGCATAATGAAAGATAAAGGCCACCAACTAAAAGACTGATGGACTTGAGTGCACTAAATGTCTCTATGTCAAAAATATATGTAAAGGGCCGGGGATTTAGCTCAGTGGCATAAGCGCCTGCCTGGCAAGCTCGAGGTTGTGAGTTCGATCCCTGGTACTGATGAAAAAAAAAAAAGATAAAAATATAAAAAAAGAAAATAATAAATTAAAGCAGAAAAAAGGGCTACTTTTCTTGCTCTACACATCTCTTAAAATTAGAAAGAAAATAAATGGCCCCTAAAACAGAATGGGTAACACATGCCACTCTTGAGTGCGCCCTAGACCTTCCTCTCGTAAATCTTTTTCATGCCTTTTTTAAAAAAAAGAATGAGTGAATATCCCAAAGAGACGCGAAGAAAAAGTACATGGGAAAATCACGGGACCAATATACACGGTTAGTATGTAACCAAGTAACTAAGGAACTATAAATTAAAGAACACCAAAAGTCTTTTGTTTGGTCTGTGGCTTTGGTGATTAGCAAAAGTATATGAATTGAAGATTAGTGAAGATTTATGTTTGGGATGGTGTGACAGAACAAGAAATTTCACAATTTGTTTATAAATCTCTTTGGAGGCCATTTTGACCATTTACGTCAAAAGCTGTATAATTTTATGTGCCCTTTGACCAGTGATTCTGCCTTGGGGCCTTTATCTTAGTGAAATTGCCAGATGCCCAAAAGAGGTGTATATTAAGGTTATTTGGGGAGTATTCTGATGAAAATCGTAATATTTTAACTGACTCCATGTCTGTCAGACAGTGTGAAACACGTGGTGACACAGTCATACGGTGAAAAGCTATGCTGACATTAAAAACGATGTCACAAGTCTCTTAGTAAAGATGCTCATAGTTTAAAATGAAGCAAATCAATGTAAAAACAGTGTGTCAATGGCTGGACATGGTGGTGCATGCCTGTAATCCCAGCACTCAGGAGGCTGAGGCAGGAGGATCGCTGTGGTCTAAAGCCAGCCTGGGCTATAAAGTGAGTACAAACCCAAACTGAATTGCATAGTGAAACCCTGTCTCAAAAATACAAAAAAAAGAACACAAAACAAAACAACAACATGGTGGCTGGGGATTTAGCTCAGCGGCATAAGCACCTGCCTTGCAAGCAGGCAGTCGTGAGTTTGATCCCTGATACAGATAAAAAGGAAAAAGACAAAAAAAAAAAAAAAAAAAAACCCAACAACAAAACTCCAGCATGTCAAGTACAGTCCTATATTTTTCTTTTTTCTTTCTTTCTTGAGTATACTAAATGTCCTATGTTTTTCACTACAGAGCTGGCCTGCAGCCAAGGTTGATTTCTTTCTTTCTTTCTTTCTTTCTGGATCTTACTATGTATTTCAGATTGGCCTTGAAATAATTCTGTGGCCCAGGCTGGCCTCAAACTCATGGTCATCCTCATATCTCAGCCTCCCAAGTGCTGGGATTACAGGGATGCACCACCATAATTGGCTTGTATTTCTTTATTTTCTAAAGTTTTTATAATAAACAGATGTTGCTATTATAATAGTATTTTTCTTTAGAGGAAGACTAAAAGGTCATACATTACTCTTCTCTACTATATCCTCTGCCCTTGTGAGAGATGCTTAACAGTTCTTGAATGAATGAATCAAAGAATCTATCTTAAATCTTAGGCGTGGTTGAAATTTATTCTGTATGCCAAAATAAACCACATACTTCGAGTCACAAGACTTGAGTTTAATTCCTGATTCATTCCTTGGCCAAGATCACCATCCCTCAACCACTTAGTCTTAGCTGTGAAATTGCAAAACTAAAAGCATTCCTTAGGAGACTGTTACGGGACCTGAGATGACACATGCAAGCTGTTTTATAAGGCACAAAGGAACATGCATCTTAGGTGTCATGACAACGTAAAGAACCCGACAGTGAGGTGGGGAACGTGCCGTGAAGGAAAGCCAACGCAACACAAGGTTTGTAGAGGTCAGTGTATGTGGGGAGCATGCCTTAAGAATCCCGAGTCCGTGGAGGCAGCTGTGAACCGTCAGGTGGAAGGAGGTGACTGCTGGAGAGACTATGTCTCCCCCAGGCGACCCTTCAGGGCTCTGGTTATGTGAGGAAAGCAAAACTCAGGGAGAGATGTCATTTCTCCTAGACCACACAGCAGAGCTGGCCTGAAACCCACTCCAAAGCCCGCTCCAAACTAAAGTGCAAAGTGCACACACACATTATGATTTCTAGGATTACTGGTTGGCGCTTGTCCTGGATTGTAACAGCATGATCAAGCAGGGGCTACATATTGGTCAATTCAGCATAATGGAACACACCAAAAAAATGTGCCTTATAAGCTTTAGGAACACTGATGACTGTACCACCTACAGTTAACTTGTCCCAAAGGGCAAATGGACATGTGTTAAGGGACTGGCTGCCCATCCTGACCTTTACACATTCTAAACCCAGCAGCCTGTTGCCTTGAAAACCACCTAGTGACCCAGTAACTCAAGAATCTGCCCTGCTTGCTTGGTGGGGGGAAGAAAATCCTTCACACATTCTCCCCTGCAGCCAGGAGGTTTCTGATTTCTGGGGTCCCTCCCCTTCTCAGCCCCTCACTGCAGATATTTGTCCTCCCACTCTTTGTACCTGGACGAAGTTGCCTTCATATTCGAAGAAAAGCAGCGGCCACATGATATTGATGATGGAAGGAAAGAGCTTCTTCAGAGGGGCCTAAAGAGAAACAGGACCCAAGGTGCCATGGGGAGGAAGACCAGGCTGTGCCTGCCGCCCAGGCCCTTTGAAGGCTGGACCCTCACCGGCAGGGACTGCCCCACAGTGCTGTGCGTCAGGGCCTGGATGCTGCTGGTCTTCTCTTTCACCTGCTCCACCAGGGTCTGCACTTGTGTGAGGTTGTCTGTGGGATGGGTGGTGTTGAAAGGTGGGCTGTGTGAATGTCTTTCCTGCCACCTTGGATCAACACTCTCACCCCCGTATCTCCCTCTGTGCCAGTGTCCCAAGACCCAGAAAAATGGCAGCTTCCCTGAGTCACCCTACTGCTTCCGGATCCTCACACGCCCCCCACACCCATCTTCCCTCTCACCATCCAGGGTGAAAATGAAGATGACAGTGTCGGTTTCTGTGAGGGAGGGCAGGACGGAAGTCAGGAAGTCTTCCTGGGAGAAGGTGAACTGTGGGCCCTGGAGCAGAGGAGGATGGGAGAGTCCTTCTATGAGAACACTCTAAAGCACAGGCTAGCAGACTGAAGAGGACGTGAGGGGACATCTCATACAGCTCTTTAGGCTACAGATGAAAAAAACCCGGGTTTAAAAGTGCAGTGCTTAAAAAAATCTAGTGCTTTAGCCAGGCACGGTAGCACATTCCTATAATCCCAGCACTCTAGGAGGCTGAGGCAGGAGGATTGCAAATTTGAGCCCAGCCTGGGAAACTTACCAATTTAGCAAGATCCTGTCTCAAAATAAAATGTTATAAAGGCCCTGGGTCCAATCTTCAGTACCACTAGATAGATAGCTAGGTAGATAGATAAGAGTTTTAAACAGAATGGTGGCACATGTCTGCCATCTAGCCATGTGAGAAACTAAGGCAAGAGCATCACAAGTTCAAGACCAGCCTATGTAACTTAGAGAGATCCTGTCCAAAAAAAAAAAGAAGAAGAATAGCAGGGCTGAGGATTTAGCTCAGCGGCATAAGTGCCTGCCTTGCAAGCGTGCAGTTGTGAGTTCAATCCCTGGTACCAAAACAAAACAAAAAAAAAGGAATAGGAGTGTAGCTTAGTGATAGAACACCCCAGGTGCTACCTACAGTACTACAAAAACAAAAAACAAAAAAAAAAAGCAGTGCATTGCCCAAGATGATGTGGTAACTCACCAGACAGGAACCAGGTCTCCGGGGATAAATCTAGAGCCTTCCATTTCCCCGCGCTCCCTGTACAGCTCCCAGCCTCATGATCTCTAATCCATACTTGCTTCTAAGACTGTTTATCTGATCACACTCCCCGTCTTTCCGAGCACTCCCACCTTCTGCACGACAGTGACCCTCACACCTTCCCCCAGCCCCATCCTCTAACCTGATTGATGAGCTCAGCTTTCTGGTTAAACATGTCACTGTGATCACCAATGAGAAAGCCACGGATGTCTCGGAAATCTGGGAAATTTAAAGACAGGGAAAGAGAAACAATGGGCTTTATAGAAAAGGCAAGTTCTAGGCTTTGGGGCTGGGAGGGACAGGAAAAGTGGGCCATGAGGGGAAAGATAATCCATATGAGAGGCCATAGCTAAGCACGGGGTGGGAACAGAGGGATCAAAAACTGAGTGGGATCCAGGTGGACTCGTGGGAGGAAAAAAAAAAAACTGAGTGGGAGCCAAAGCAAGAAGCATTTGCCTTGAGGGCCAGGGATTTAGCTCAGTGGCGTGAGTGCCTGTCTGGCAAGTGCGAGGTCATGAGTTCGATTCCCGGTACAAAAAAAAAAAAAAAAAAAAAGAAGCATCCACCTGAAATGCCTATTAATTAGGACAGAACGGACGTTAAGGAATCCCCATGAATCGGCGGCAGAGGGTTTGGATAGCAGACCGAATTGGCTGGGGTCAGGTGGGATCAGGAAGAAAAAAGTGCAGACTGGGGTCCCACCAGCACCAAAGTTATGGATGCACTCCACTCCATCCATGATGGCAATGATGCCCAGGGTCTGCCAGCCAAGCAAGTGCACTCGGCCTTTCTTCTCCAGGCTGAGGATGCGTCAGAGGGCAGGACGGAAGTGATCACCACAGAAAGAAGCCAGAGATGCACACGGAAGAACACAGAGGTAAACAAAGGGGAAGCCGACCACACCCCTCCAACACAGACCCATTATTCTCACCATGCTAGTGTGACCCCAAGTCTGTTCTTAGGCGCCCCTCCAAATGCACATCGGATACCTGGTGCTGACTTGCTTCATCAGGGTGGCAATCTTGGAGCTCTGACTGTAGGTCACCTTGTGAGCCCGCTCAAAGGTCCGCAGGATTTCCAGGAGGCATCTGGGAGAGAAACCGCCAGCTCCCTCAGAAAGTGGGGGCTCCTCCTACCCCTGCTCAGGGGGAAGCATGGTTTGCATGGTTAAGTTCTAAGGAGAACCAGACTGCACTGAGGAGCACCCTGCACCAAGCAGTAGGGGTGCAGATAGGGCTTGGGGGAGGGGGGTCAGAACACTGAAGACCAGAAAGAGGAAGCCTCTTGTGAGGGAACGTGGCCTGAAGGTGGGCGAGAGGTCAGTGAGCAGCCTGGGAGGTGGGTTAGAGACCCTGGTCAGGGAAGGAGATCGGAGCAGGACACATTCTGTCAAAAGTTTGCTTCTGGATCTGGCCCTGCCACCCCCACGGCTCTCTCTTACCTAGAGCCCCCCTCCCCATCCCCCATGGCTCTCTCTTGCCTAGAGCCCCCCTCCCCATCCCCCATGGCTCTCTCTTACCTAGAGCCCCCCTCCCCATCCCCCATGGCTCTCTCTTACCTAGAGCCCCCCTCCCCACCTTTGCGATGCTGCAATGCCCCGGTCCACCGTCTTGTGGGCTGCCAATAGCAGGGTTTCCAGCAGGATCTTGGTGGCACTTCCTCCTTTCATCCGGGAGCAGCCGCTGAGGCCCTCGGGCTGAGAAAGCAACAGCTCAGTGTGAGGCTGTAGAGGACCATCCTAGAACCCACCAGGTAGTGATGCCAGGCACTCACTCTGGTTAGGAACCTTGGTGCCCCCTCCCCCAGTGTGCTGTGAGGAGGGGTGCTGGGGTGCTGTTAGTGGAGGAGAAAAGAGAGAAGGAAACGGCCACCTCTGGTCACTTGTCTGGCACAGTCAGGCTTCTCTGAGAGGAAGTCAGAGTGCTTGGGTCTCCGGGCAGCTGGGTTAGGGGTTTTTCAGAGTGCATTTCTTTTTAAGAACTTTCTATGCACTGCCGCCAGAACTCTCTTTTGTGGTAGCCTGGTAGTTCAGATACCATATTCCATGCCCTTTGACAGACCGGTGAGGCACCCAGTGCAAAGGCACAGATTCATAACGCGGAAGATGACAGAGAGAAATAGGAAAGCAGGGATCAAAAAAAGAAGACCGAGGGCCAAGCACTGCACAGAAGAGGAAGGGCTGCGCACGTGTGCAGCAGGCACGCCGCCTTCCGGTCTCACACAAGGGAGGTCAAGGAGAGGATCACAGGTGAGCCGCCCCTGGCAAGCGAGCAGGGCTTAGCTAAGGTTGATGGAAGGCAGAGCACACAAGTGACCGGGACCCACAGGCCACAACAAGGAGCAGGAGCCTCAGAGGCTAAGAGGGCCTCCCCACTGAGGGGAGGGTGGACAAAGGCAGGACAGCAAAACTACTACTTCTTTCTTTGTCTTTTTCTTTTCTTTTTTTCAGTACTGGAAATTGAACCCAATGCTTTTACACTGAGCCAAACCTGCAGCCCTTTTTGATTTTTTATTCTGAGACAAAGTCTCTCTAAATCAAGACTGGGCTTGACATTATGACTCTCCTGCCTCAGCCTCCCACAGTCCACATTTGAAATCCAAATACTGTATGTGAAAAGACACCAAATGAGCCATAACAATGGTTAGTTAAGGTTGTCTGAAAACTAACAGGAAAAAGCTCCTTTAAACAGAAACTGCCCTAGGTTGGCAAAGCATTTAATGACTACTGATTGGAGAGACAGAGTCAGAATGAAGATAAAACACCTTAAGGTGAAAAGTAAGAGAAGAAATAGGATTGCATTTAAAACATGTTAGTTGACACAAAATGCCTCGGGAGTTTGCTTGATAAACAACTTAAATCAGAAGGTCTAAGCAAGCCTGGAGCGATTCCCAGATGCTTGGGTGAGGATAGGGAGAAAGAACAGCCCTACCCCAACCGCAGGATTGAGCACAAAAGCCTCCTGTTTCTCTTGCAGTTTCTGCATCCGCTCTGCTACTTGCCGGAAGGTTGAACGCCAGTCTTCAATGGGGTCATTTCTAGGGTCCAGAGAGAGACAGGAGGAAGGGTCATCTCTGAGGCGGTGAAGGCAGGCCCTGGGCTGGGAGTCAGGTTCAAGGACTGCGCACTGAGACTGTGATCAGGGGTCACAGAGGGATGCACTGTGGAGCTCTGGGGCAGTGTGTCCCTGCACCCCAAGGACAGGGTTAATAAAGAAAGCCCAGATAAAGCCAACACACAAGTTTAAAGTTCCAGGCAAAGATCAGAACCAGAGTTTGGAGACCAGAACCTTCTTGTATCCTGGTCCTAGCGCAGAACTGACTACCCCAGCCACATCCATCCACCTGGCCTTCTGGGAGGCCCCAAGATGCCTATCATCCAAATTGCTCTCCGATTTTCCATTTTAGGGCCATTGAGAAGCCCTTCTCATTCCTGGAATGGTCTGTGGAAATCCCTCCAAAGAGGGGAGGCTCAGCGCCTGAGGGAGGGGAAAGGATCCCTAGTGCGGTACGTGAGCAGCAAGGTAAAAAGCAGTGGGCCTGGGACTGGGAAACGGGATCAATCCACCAGCAACAATAAGTTAATCATTCAAGACAGCCACAGGCTCTGTACCTCCTTAGCCACAAATTATGAAGTCTCAAGAACGAAGTTTCACATCTCTGGGGATAATTCATCACACACACACACACACACACACACACATTTCTGTGTCACTTCTAAGGCATATAAGTTTTCATGAATTTCATTCCCATTGTGTAATGTCTCCTGTCATTGTTCTCAAACTATTTTTTTGTTTTGTTTTGTTTTGTCTTTTTGAGACAAGGTCTTTTTTGCAGTTCAGGCTGGCCATGTGCTTACTTTGTAGCCCAGGCTGGTCTCGACTTGCAAAGATCCTCCAAACTCAACCTCTTGAGTGCTGGGATTACAGGCATGCGCCACCATGCCTGGCTCTATTTCCATTTTTGTTTGTTTGTTATTTATTTTTTGAGACAGGGTCCCACTATGTATTCTAGGTTGGCCTTGTACTTGTGAAAATCCTCTTCCTTAGCTTTTTCAGTGCTGGGAATATAGGTGTGTGCCACCATAACTGCCTTTAAACTATTTCTAAAACTCTCTATAGAGATCTAGGTAAGAGACTGAAACAGAGAATAGACAGCATCCAGATTTAAAATTAAGATTCACAGGCCTGGCTGGACATCAAAATCATCTGGGAATTCTGCTGCTCTTCTGGTTTTAATTACTACCCATTGTGGACTGCCTGTCCACTCTGAGACTTAGTAGTTCTGGAAGGAAGCCCAAAACTCTGTATCTTTAAAAGCTTCCCTGATGATTCTGAAGATCAGCCAAGTTGGGGAGCCACTGATTTAAAGAACAACTGGAAGATCTCCACGCCTACATTGTTTAAATTCTTCATTTCACTTAGTCACAGGGCCTGAAATTAGCATCCACTGCAGCAAATATATTTTTGGTGAAGGAGAGTCCCGCATGCAAAATGATCAGGGTTCGGAGAGTCTCAGACCCATTTGCACCCTCCTGTGAATTACACTAGAAGCAGAGAATGTGGAGCTGAGCAGAGCACCTCAGAAAGAATCCAGCTCATCTGCTTCCCTGAGATCAACCCCAAATAAACACAGGGGGCTGCTTTAATGTAATGGAAAAGCCTCTGCCGCAGGTCCTTCAATGACAGTCATCGAGTGGCCCATCAGGTGGTTTATTTAGCAGAGTCCCCCAGACCTGGCTATACATCAGAATCTCCAAGGATGGTTTTTTAAAATATATACTTCAGGGTCTTAGTGCAAATCAACAAATCAAGTGTTCTAACACAGGGGCTAAAAATCTATCTTTTTAAAATTTTTTTTTCCTTTTTTCCTCCCCAGATTAAACTCAGGGTCCTTACACTAAGCCACACTCCCAGTTCTTTTTACTTTTTATCCTAAGACAGGGTCTCACTAAGTAGCTAAATTGCCTAGGTTGGACACAAATTTATGATCTTCCTGCCTCAGCCTCCCAGAGTTCTAAGAGCATAGGTGTGTGCCACCAAAACTGGCTCTATTTCCTTCTTCCTGTTTTTCTAACAGTCTTCCAGCAACTCACACACATAACTATAGCTGCATACTATTGGTCTAATATGTTGTTATGGTTCATGTCTAGATGTCCCCCCTAAGCCTCATGCAGTCATAAGTGGTGCATTTTCAGAGGTGGCTGGATCTAGAGTTTGTGACCCTGGGACTGATTCCTGGTGCTATGCCAGGATCAGTGGCCCTAGGATTAAGGGTGTGAGTGCTATCCACCCTGAGTAGCCTGGATAAAATATAACAGAGAGAAGGAGTCATGGTGGTCCCTCACTTGTTTGCTACCTTCTGCCTGCCATAAACTTTCTCTCCCCTGCAAACCTTGTTCGCAATGCCACCCTATCTTGGCGCCAGCTGATTATGGACTGAAACCTCTACAAACTGAGAGCTTTCCTCTTTTAGCTTTGGGTGTCAGGTATTTTGTCTCAGCAACAAGAAAAGTAACTAAGACATATGTTGACTTTCTCTGAGATCAGACAAAGTGGGAATTTAGACAGAGAATAAAAGGGAGAAGATTTGGTAGCATGGAAAAGGATGGAGCGTAGATTTCAATAGCCAAAAGGAAACAAGAGAGTGCCAGAAATGATGACGAGAGCCAGCATAAAAATAAAGGAGATGGATAAAGAGGAGTAGGTGGTCTCTCAGCACCACTGCTATTACCTTGAAAAGATGTTTGGGGTTTGCCCCAATAAAAAGCACAGATCTCTGTGGTGCACATTTTCCTGACCCCATTTTTCCTTCTGTCCCTTCTTTTTATTTTCCTTTCAATCCTGTTCTAAATGTATGCTAGCTTGTCTTTTATGTAGCCTTCAATGCTTTCTGAAACAAGAAAAGAATAAATCGACCAACCAAACAAAAATACCTCCTAAACCTAGGGAGACCTTGTATTTACTGCACCATTCTGGGATCTGGTGAACAAGACTTTATCTTTATCCATCTGTCCTCTTTTGTGGTTGGACTAGCTGATGTGTCCCTGAGCCCCAGAGCTGGCCAGTCCCTATAGATGGCTCACCTGGCCATGTTCACGGGATTGAAGCCAACCAGGACCGGCAAGAATACGGCTGTGTTGTCCATGCAGTAGTCCATCTGGCCTGCCACAAAGGGTGCCTGACGGCAGTGAGAGGAGTTACTGTGAGTGTTGCCCAAGGCCCATGGGCATCAAAATCCTCCAGAACACTTCCGCAGTGGAAGCAAGAGCACGTGTTTAACACGTACCCCAGGGAGCTACGTCTTTATCCAACTCCTTTAAGGTAATCTACACAATAAAGTCTGGAAATCACTGAACTAAACTTCCCCATGCTCTCTCCTTACGCATCGTCCTTCTCCTGCAAGCTAGGATCTGGGTTTCTGCCCACTGGATTCTTAGAATCTGAGACTTCCAGGGTTGACAGGACACTTGGGGTCACCTAGCCTAGTGCTGCTCAAAACAAACACATGGGAATCTTGTTAAAATTCAGATTCAGATTCAGTGGACTTGGGGTGGGGACTGAGGTCTTGCATTTTATAACAAGTCCCACGTGATGCTGATGCTGCTGGTGCAGGGACCATAGTTAAATAGCAAAGGGCTAGGCTGGGGGACAGCTTTTTCTGTTTTGGGCCAGAGAACTTTAAATTTTGTGGTTGCGCTGATCTCTCCTAGAGTTGTGGCACAAGAGGCCACACAGACCATATATGCAAACACCAATGACTCCATGTCAATGAAACTTTATTTATAAAAACAGACAGCTGGCTAGATTGGCTGCCAGTACAGTTTGCTGCACTGCTGACCCCTGGACCCCTGCACTTGTCTATCTTGGCTGTTGATGGATTGATTCACAGTTATTCTGAGAAAGGATCCCTGTTCTCTATTCTCACATTCATACAACTGGATCCAAATCAGTACAGCGGAAATTCCTAGTGCCAAAGTTGTGTTTTGTAGCACGCACCTCATCGGTCTACCTTAGATGCTGACCCTTTCCCAGCCCTTCCTCCCTATAAAGTTCAACCCTCAGCCCATCTTCACGCTTACAGAGAGTCCCACCGAGATGCCGATGACGATCACCCTCCTCCTGCCAGCAGCCACCTAGGAGAGGAGGACAGACAAACAGTAGAGCGGGGAAGACTCCAGGATACAAACTTCTTGTGGGAAGATACTGGGGGCCAGGACCAGCGGAGGAGGCAAGATCTGGCTGGGTGTTGGGGGCTGTTATGTCCCCAGGAAAAGGAACACACAGGTCTGTGGTTAAAGTTCAGGGGAAAGCACAAACCTTCTTCAGCTCTTCAATCCCGTGTAGGGCACTATCTTCAGTCCTCTCCCGAGAGGCCACCACAGACCTAAGAAGGCAGATTCAATGTCAGTCCATTCCCTGGGAAGCAGAAACCTATGGTTTCTTAGGGAAGGCCACACAGACGGAAGGCAACGGAGGAAAACCGTTGCTGGATGAACAACCTCTGTCATGTCTGGTACCGCGACAGATTCTCCACAGAGCTGAAACGCTCAAATACCTACAAGGGCCAGGCAGGCAGCGGAGAGGGTCAAATGTAAGGCAGTAAGGAGTGATGGGGACTGAGGCATTCTGAACAAAACACTGGTCTAAAGTCATCCGAATTCAGTTTCTGAAAAACACACATTCAGGCCAAACCGAACATTCCCAGGCCAAGGTGACCTACCTGTCCCCTCCAGCAATGAGGTAAGTATAAAGAGGTTTTTGTCCTAGACCTTTCATTAGCTGGTTAAAGGAGACCTGTGTCAAGGGGGAAGGAGGTAGAGAGAGGAGAGTGAAGGAAAAATTAACTTGGAACTTCAGCTCCTAACAGGAAGAAGCTGCAGGATGATTCTCTTAGGCTAGCGCTTAGCCCAGTCCTGTTGGAATCTGCTATGAAAACGCTATGTGGAGATGATTCACCGGGGATGTGTGGGATGGAGGAACATTAGCAATAGACGGGTGGGGTCCCCCTAGGCTCAAGAGAAATGGGACTCGGGTGGGAAGAGAAAGAGAGGGAGCGAGGCGTGGAGCCCAGGTCTAACACGGGGCCCACCTAGACACTCAACTGTGATCAGCTTTATGGTCCTGGGGCTCATCTGCAGAAGGGGATCGAGGGAGACTCGATCAGGCATCAGGGTACTCACCGACATGAGGAATGCCATCCGGCCAGAGGTCCCCCCTCCACTCAGCACCACCAGCCCCCCATCTGGCTCCTGAAGAAGGGAAGTTGCCTAGGTCACCACGACAACTCAAGTCAAGGGAAGTCTTTTCTTTGATAGCAGTGGAAGAGAACTTAAAGGGTCTCCTCTATCCTTTCTCTCATCACAAAGTTGAATAAAACATAGGCCCTCTGATGCAGCAAAAAAACCCACTGGATTGGAGAAAGAAAATGGAGTTTGACTGCCATCTCTGGTTTAACTGTTTATCAACCCATTGCTTACTCTGGGAGGGACTGACAGCAACTTTGTCATCTAAATAAAACTTTAAAAATAAAAGTTTGATACTACCCAACAATTATTAGCTGGGTACATTTCAGGAAGCTACTGTGGTCTTCCTCAGCCTTGGTTTCCTTGTGTGAAAATCCAGAGACAATTATATCACCTCATATGTTCGTGTGAGGATCACAGGTGTGGAAGTCAATTCTAAAGTATTATTTAGTTAATATTATAATTATTACTGAATGATAGGATGACAATAAGGATCTAAAAGGAAGGACTGAGAGAATGGAGCACTAAGATCTGCAAAAGTAAAAAATGGTGACCAAACAAAGGGAAAGTAGAGAAACAGGATATTGGGGAGTAGTGGGGGGCTAGTACCTTCAGGATTTCTTGTACTTTCTCAGCCACTTGCACCATGGTGGTCAGAACCGATTCGCTGTACAGTCGCTGTGCGGAAGAGGCAAGAATCAAAAGCCAAGAAAAAGAGGGTGGTAAACTGGAATGGGAGGAGAAAGGGTTTTCAGGATTTACCGATCAGGAAAAACGGTCTGGGAGGGCAGAGGTTGAGACGGAGGCGGGAAGGCATTTTCTTTTTGGGGTCCAAGTGTTGGGTCTGGGTTACCTGGTATGCAGGCACGGCTTGCCCCTCCTCCTGGAAGATCTCAGCATCGCACTGCCCTAGTAACTCAACAATTTTCTCAGCATTTGCCTTGTCCAAGTCCCGGGTCAGCGGGTTTGACTTCTCTGTGATTGGCACTGCTGCCTCGTACCCAGACAGCTAGAGAAAAGCGGAGACAAAGACGGGGATGAAGCCAAAGGCTCATTTGTGCCTGCTGAACTGGGGGTGGGAGTGACGGCAGGCATAGCATGTGGATTCTGTCTTGTACATACACACACACACACACAACCAGGCACTTAGCTTGCACTTGGTGCTCTGGGCCTATTAGGGAAGGAAAATCAGAGGGAAGACAGGAGGGAAGGTGGTGTGAGCAGAAACCCAGGGAGGAGGTAAATCCAGATAAAAACCAAAATTCTAGGGATCAGTGCAAAAGACCAAAATCAAGAGGGTTCTCACCTCCCACTCGCCAGGCTCTGGGGTCTCAATCACATGTTGGAACCGTTTTGTGCCTGGCATGGCCCCCAGCTGTAGTCACGTCGTCCTGTGCTGTCCTGTTGTGTCCTGTCTGTCACACAAACCCCTCTGGTCACAGTGGCTCTGCTTCCAGCTGGCAGGGCCTTATCTGAGCCACAGAGATGATTAACCTAAGAACCTGGCCTCTCCAAGCGCCACCCCTGCATCTCTTCCTGGACCCTCCTTTCCTGGTCACTAGGCCCCCAGCTATCTGGGGAACTCTTGGTCCTCTTTGTCTGCAACTCAACTTGCGAATCTCTGTTTGTCCCCTGAAGGGAAAGACTGGAGGCTCATTGCTCTTGCCCTGTGGGCACAGTGCCCTCATCCCCGGAAAGCCTAGAGCCCAGAGGGCAGGATAGCACCTGGGCCAGTGAGAATCTGGGCAAGCATGTTCTGGGACCAGGAGGCCAGAGATCAAGGTCCTGGGGTTAACAGAAGTCAGGTGATGACACCATCACATGCTCAGCACACCCTGTCCTTCCCTGGCCCATTTTACCTTCTTTTCTCAGAAAGAAAGGCAACAGGAGTTTCAGAACCCCATGTGTGCAAGCACTAAACTGGGTATCCCAGGAGAAAAAATGCCACAGAAATAGAAATGCTGCAATGAGATGAGAAACAAGGAATCTGCCCTAAATACGTTAGCCACGGTTTATTATACCGAGCTATATACTTTTTCTTTTGTTCCTCTTTTTTTTTTGAGACAAGGTCTTGCCATATAGCTTCGAACTCATGGCGATCCTCCTGCCTCAGCCCCCAGAATGCTGAGATTATAGGTGATCTACAGTATCTCACCTGATACTACATCTCAATATGTCAATATTGACACCCCCATTTTACAGACAATGAAACAGACTCAGAAAAGTTATTGCGAAATTAGTTATTGGCTGAACTAAGACACCCAAATTCTCCAGATTTTATACTCAGCCAAAGCATGAAATAGTTTAAGGATTTATATGCTCATTGAATGCATGAAGGAATTAACAAGTCCGTGTCAAGCAGCAATAAACCCTCACACGGTTTAAAGGTAAGATTTATAAAGGTCTTTCCAAGTTGTCTCATTTGATCCTCTCCACAGCCTGAGAGGCTTCATTCACACGCTCTGCTCACAGGTGGGAGACCTGAGGTGCAGACGAAGCACCCCTTAATCCACACAGTCAGCGCGGGGTGGGGGTGGGGGGCCAGCACGCCGCTGCCATGTAGCTTCGCTCCCCAATTCTCCCCGTAAACCCAGCACTGACAGTCGCTTTATCTCCAGTTCTTAACATAACGCCAGGCAGCCCAGGGGCCGCTCACGACGTTTTACTGAATAAATGCAACAATGAATGGAAAACCAACGGAATCGCATCAGATTGTGAATGGGAAAGAGACTTAAAAACTGACGCAGTCTCCAAGTCTGAGATCCGAGATTATCCCGACGCCGTCCCCTCTCCGCTCAGCTCCCCCGCCGTGCAATCCCACCTCCCGATGCGCCCAGCGCGTCCCGGGAAGGAGGGCGGCCAGGCCCGAGACCCCGCAGCTGCGCCCCGGCCCGCGCCCTGGGAGAGCGGTGGAGCGGGGGGCCGGAGCGCAGAGCGGGCCGAGGGCGGAGGGCCGCCATGAGGGTCGGGGAGGAGCCCGAGCCCGGCTGGGGGGGCGGCGGGGGATGACGGCGGCGAGGGCCCCGCGGGCGGCGGGCGGCGGGCGGCGGGCGGGGCGGGGCGGGGCGGCCCCACGTCCCGGCCGGGCTGCGGCGGAGCGCGCGGGGCCGGCTCTGCGGAAGGCGCGGGCGGCTGGCCCGGACGCTCACCTCCCGCCGCAGGGCCGCTCGCACCGCCGCACCGCCCTCCGCACTGGGGACCGAGGCCGGCGGCCAGGCCGCGCCTGCGACGCCCCCTGCCCGGGGCCAGACGCCCGCCATCGGGCGCCCCTCGCCTCGCCTCCGGCCCGCACCTCGGCCCGCGCCACCCGCCTCGCCGGCCCGCGCCGGGATGGGGTAGGGACGGCGCCTCGGAGCCGGGCGATGGGCCGCCCCCTGGGCGCCGAGCAGCCCCCGGAGGCCTGACCGGCCGCGGAGACCGGCGGAGGTGGGTGTGCGCCTGGGGAGCTCGCGCCGGCCGGGGCGCCGGGGCTCTGCGGGGGGGTGGGAAAGGCTTGGGGAAGCCTGAGCTGCTGTGCACCGCGGGGAGTCCGGGAGACCTGCTGTCCACCGTGGCACCACCTGACCCCCACTACTCTGTCTCCTCCAGCACTTCCGCCTGGATGTCAAGCGCATGCCCCAGTGCCCCCCGGCGGACTCGGTGGGACCATGGCTTCGCTGATGCCCCTCTCCCCGTATCTGAGCCCCACGGTCCTCCTGCTGGTCAGCTGTGACCTGGGCTTCCTGAGAGCAGGTGAGTGATGAAGAATGAGGGTGTTGGTCAACTAGAGGTGGTTTGTGGATGAAACCTGTTAACACCCTGACACCCACAGACCGACCTCCCTCTCCTGTGAATGTGACGGTCACTCACCTCAGAGCCAACTCTGCTACTGTGTCCTGGGATGTCCCAGAAGGCAACATCGTCATTGGCTACTCCATTTCCCAGCAAGTATGAATCACCCTTCTGCTTCCCCAACCTGTGTCCTTGGATCTCTGGTCACCTGCACCCTGTCTCTAAACTCTCCTCCCCGGAGCTGGGGGAATCTGGGAGCTGGCGTGCCGGCCCGGGCTGCCCTTGTCATCTTGCTCCCTTGGAGTGCTGGGCTGTAGCCTGGGCTGAGGCTGTCCCCTCCCGTCCTCTCCCTGCAGCGACAGAATGGCCCCGGGCAACGTGTGATCCGGGAGGTGAACACCACCACCAGGGCCTGTGCTCTCTGGGGTCTGGCTGAAGACAGTGACTACACAGTTCAGGTCAGGAGCATCGGTCTTCGGGGTGAAAGTCCCCCGGGGCCCCGGGTGCACTTCCGAACTCTCAAGGGCTCTGACCGGCTGCCTTCCAACAGCTCCAGCCCAGGTGAGGGCCTGTGCAGGCGGATTCACTGGCGCTTTACCTGGCTGTTATTCTTACTTACTTCCCCAAAGCAAGCAGCATTTATCTAGCTTAGATAAATAGATGATTTCATTCATTGTACTGCCAGGAAAAGAAGGGAAAGCAGGTGGGCAGGGACCCATTATAGACAGCCTGCTAATGAATCCTTTGGGGGAAGGGCTTGGATGCTTCCTTTTACCCAGCCTCACATCACATCCCGCGTGAGCAAGTTCTGCAGGCCTCCTACCTTTGGTCTCTAACCCCCTTTCTACCACAGACTTCCTCCCAGAGAGGAGCTTCCCTAGGACTCCAGGGGCAACACTGACAGGTCCAGCCTGACTCTAACCCCCACATCTCTGTTCTGTGTGTGACACAGCTTTCAGCAGGTCCTCTGTGACTTGCAGTCTGTTTCCTCTCTTCTCAGGAGACATCACAGTGGAGGGTCTAGATGGAGAGCAGCCACTGCAGACTGGGGAGGTGGTCATCATTGTGGTGGTGTTGCTCATGTGGGCAGGTGAGCAGCTGGATGGGGGCCCAGGCTCTTAGGGGAAGGGGCTTAGCGAAGGTGGGAGGTGGCAAAGGTCTGTGAGGAGAAAGGGGGGAAGCATGAAGTGGGGAGCTATTTGGTTGGGGGGGGGCATGGTTGGGAGCCCAGAAATCAAGACTGCATGAGCACCTAGAATTCAAGGATTTTATTCTTGGATATCCTAGGAGTTGTGTGGTTATCTCATCACTCTCCAAAGCTGTGAGGGGAGGGGTTGAGATGGGGGCTCAAATGGTGTTGCTGTGTTTCAGCTGTAATTGGGCTCTTCTGCCGTCAGTATGACATCATCAAGGACAATGACTCCAACAACAACCCCAAGGAGAAGGGAAAGGGGCCGGAGCAGAGTCCTCAGGGAAGGCCAGTAGGGACAAGACAGGTGATGTGGGGACCTGTGAGGGTGGGAGGGTGATGTGGGCTGGAGGACCAGTCAAGGGTAACAAGAGGCTAGAGAGGGGCAGGCAAAGGGGGAGAAAGAGCTGAGATGGAGGCGGCCCAGGAGAAAGGGCAGCATTTATTACTTTGCTCAAATTAGAGACCCAGGCCATTTTCTTTCACAGAAAAAGTCACCATCTATCAACACCATCGATGTTTGAACTGCGTTTGAGTGGGAAAAAAATGGAACCAGAAGAGAGCTGCACTAACAACATGGGGATGGGGATGGGGTCAGGGAGAGCCTAAGATGGTGATCTGCCCAAGATTCCCAGAGAGTAATGCATTTCCACGATCTCAGGCTGGTGCCCATCCTCTTTCCACTGTGAGTAGGGCCAGAAGGTAGGTCTGTTAGAGTCTGCACCCTGGGCCTGGAGAGTGGATGTCGGATGGAACATCTCCTTCCATTGCCTGGGTCCAGGGGAGAGTCACATGTTTAACCCTATCCCATTAGGTCCCAAATAGGGGCCCCATTTCACCTACATCAAGACACTTGGCATCCCCTGATACCCCGACATCTTGCCGCTGGGCCTCAGAGAGGGATGTTTTTATGAGTACTCACCCTCCCCCAGGAAATAAAAGGAATCACCTGGGCCTAGAGGCGGATGTTACACTGCACTACTCCAACGTCTTCCATGGAGCCTCCGGTGCTCCCCTTCACTTGGTAGCCCCCCCAGCTGCTGGTGATCTCACCTTGGACATTTTTCCAATAAAAGTTCTCGAGCAAACTGGAGCGGATTGTACAGTACACTGTGTTGAAGACATCTCCCCGCCCACCTCTTGCCTGATTCTCCGCGGCCTTCTCACAGGGCCTCCGGTTTGAGAGATGCAGACTCATTGTAAGATGTTTACTTCAGTTCTTCAGCCTGAAATAGGTGGGAAGGGACAGGAAGAGGGCAGAGAAGACTACAGACTAGTTTCTATTGCTTTGTTGAGTGCAAGGGGTGGTGGGACAGAAGAGAAAGGTGTAAGATCTTCCCGTGCTGGTGGGAACTGTTACGTCACATGAGAGGGCCAGTGGTTTATGTTCACTGCTTACATCACTGGCCAAACTCCTCACCATTCATCCTTCTGACTCTTCCAACAACCGTGGGCAGATGGTCCAGCAAGGCCTGAGTGCTGTCTCGAGAGCAATCAAAGAGCAGCTACACTAATGGATCCCTCAGTGCCACGTGCTACCAGCCTGAGTATTGCCATGACGATTCTTCCTGCCTTTGTTTTCCTTTTCATCGCCATCTGTGTCTCTGTTCATAAAATCAGTAATCATTGTAATGCAGAACTGAGTTTATAATTACCCTCTGCCACTATATCCAGAGGAAGATTCTGGCAATAAAATTAAGGGGTTGGGAAAAAGGATCTATAATTTGGGCTCTGAAACCTTTTTGTTTCCTCTGAAAATGGGCTGTCTTCATTTTTTCCTGTTTCCAAGGAGGAGTTGGTGACGGAGATACAACTGTTGACACTGGCACCTGTGTGGTACAAGGCTTCTGGGCCCAGAATCTGGGAGGGTTACAGGTCTGCCCAACTTTAGAGGCTCCAGGGGAGACTTATGAATAACTCCTATCCTGTATTTCAATCTCTGGTATGAGACAAGAAATATACCTTCCTAAAAGAAATTAGACCAAAAATCCTGAGGGGGACCCCCAACCCAAAGAAAGATAAAAAAAATTCGGTAGAGGCTGGGGATTTAGCTCAGCAGCATAAGCACCTGCCTTGCAAGCAGGCGGTCTTGAGTTCGATCCCCGGTACCGATAAAAAGAAAAAACAAAAAACAAAAAAAAAGTGAAAAAAAAATTTAGTAGCCTTTTTATTTGATCAAGTGCCAACTCCAGGTATTGAACCTCTTGAGCTAGCCATGCTATGGTCTGTCCTGCTACCTAACACATTAAAAATATCCCAACTAAGCAGCAATCTTTAGCTCAATGTCCAAGTAGGGGCACCTTACCTTTCCCTGACCATTGCGTCCAAAGCATTTCTCTTTTGGGCTCTTGGAAACCATCACTTCTTGGGACAGAAAAGTATTATGGGCTATAGTATTATGGGCTCCCTGGCATGGAGACTTTGGTTAAGATTTCAGAAAGAATATAAAGAGTGTTTAAATCTACCAGCTCTGGGTTAAATCCCAGTTCTGCCCTATACAGTCTGTTTACTTGAGCAAGTGGTCTCTCTGATTGAGTCTCATTATGTAAATTAGAACTGATAAAAACTCCCTTTCAAAAGGCAATTAAACAACATAATACGTGATCATTTAACAGAACCAGGCAGACACATACTGAACATTCCTGTAATTGATCAGTATTTGCCTTGTGATTCCACAAAAGTCATATAACTTATTTGGGCTTGAGGCTGTCAATTGCTTTTGCCCATCATAGCAACGGCTGTGATTTCCCCTCAGAGTTTCAGCAATGTGTGCACTCAGCCACGCTGACATACATACGTCAAAGAGCAAAAAAGACGATGACGTAGTAGCCAAAGTTTGCCTAAGACTTTAGTGGGAGTGGCTTGGGTTTAGCTTTGCATATAGCGACCGGATTGGTCGAGGGGAGGCTTCATCAAACCTCCCATGGTCCCGCCCTAGTTCTCATTGCGCTTGCGCACATTCTTTTTGCTTCGTCGGGAACACAAGACGTGACCTTGCGACGTGTGTTGCGCTCAGGTCGCGTTTGCGTCAGCGGCGGACGCGGTGGCTGCTTGGCGGGTTGTCCCGGTAACGGCAGGAGGTGTAGCTGTCTGGTAGCATCTGAGAGACAGGGTGCGTCATGCAGTTGAAGCACCTGAGGACCCTGCTGAGCCCTCAGGTGAGGAGTTGCGCGCCTCTTCCCTCCCCGGCCGCCGTATGAAAAGTGGGGGAACTGAAGTTTAAAATGCGGGGCGCCCATTGTGTGCAGAAGAACTGAGGATATAGCGATGATCCTTACTCCGCTCAGTTGATTGAGCTTTCAGTAGGCGATGCAGATTATTGATGACCATAGCTTTCATGCATCAGTTAGGTGCCAGGTCTTGTGCTGGTGTTCTGAAGGATTCGAAAGTACTCGCACGCCTGCCCCTGACTTCCAGAGACTCGGTCCAAAGACTTGCGAACAGGGGATAAGAATCTACACCGCATGATTTAAACACTTTAGGTGCAACCCCTAAAAAGGAAGGGCGGGAGGCTGAACATTCTGATGAAGATTTATTGCTGAGATTCATTAGGGGAGAAACTTTGAAACATGGTGAAGAAAGGGTGGGTTTGGGAGTTGAGACCAGACTTCAAATTCTAGTTCACTAAATCACCTGATGTCTCTGACTTTAGCTTTTGTCACAGAAGGCCTTTCAGCACACTGGAAAATGGAAATAATAATATAATAATAATGTATTATATATAATATATTAGTTATATATAATATATATTATTATAATTATATAATGTATATTAGTTAATTAGTTGCTATTATATATAATATAATATATAATATAATATGATAGTAATAGTATAATAATAACTTTTTTTCACTTCTGCAGTAATCAGCACAATTAATAACAACTTTAGAGGACTTGAAAGAAACTTAAATAAGTTAGTATACACAAAAGAACACTATGAACTCAAAAGCATTGTGAAAACTGATAGACAAGAACAAGGTAATTAAAAGTAGCCGGGCGTGGTGGCACACACCTATATTCCCAGCCCTCGGGAGGCTGAGGTTGAAGAGTCGCTGTGAGTTTGAAGCCAGCCTATGCTACATAGTGAATTCAAGGATAGCCTCAACTACATAGCAGTACCCTGTCACAAACAACACAGAAGAAAAAAAAAGAAGTGAAAGGATGGGTTAACACAAAGCCAGTAAGAGTATCTGCATAGTTGAGTGCTCACTGTGTATCAGGACAGGCATAACTAAAGACATTAGGATTGTGATTTATAGAATCAGACATACATAATTTAAATCTTGGTTCTGCCATCTACAAATGGTATATAAACATGGACATATTGTCTAACCTTTTTGTGCCTCAACTTCCCCATGCATAAAAAAGGAACTATAATAATAGCATCTACCTCAAATTATGAGGTAAAGTGAAATAATAGATGCCAAGCACTTGTCAAAATGCCTACCATATGGCAGTGCTTGTTAAAGATTAGTTGCTATGTTGTAGTCCGTATTTCATTCTCATGACAGTCGAGTGTAATATATATTGTAGAAAAAGGGGAATTCGTTGGTTATGGGATCAGGAAGGCTTCCAAAAGGATGTAGAATTTGAAGAATAAAGGAAATTGGAACAAAAAAGAGTAGTGCTCCTTTTTTAGTAAGCTGCCCCTGAATGTGTAATTTAAAAATGCCTTTGCTGTAATGGAAAAATTGAAAATGGAATCCTTCTTCAGTCTCTCAAAGTAAAATGATGTCATGATGCTGGTAGGGCCAGAAGCCCAGGAGTGGATATAGCCAGGAAGCAGGATGACAAGCCAAAGTTGATGGGGACCCCTCAACCCTGCTAACCCAATGTGGTGAAGAGTTAGAGGGTGACAGTTGTGGGGAGGTTATTTTCTGGCTCTAGTTTGAGGATTTTGGTGAAAAGAGTCTTTTGGTTTTGGAAATAGATGTTTTTTAGGGTGAAAAGTGACAATGTTTTAAGCCAAAAATCTAAATCCCAGTTAATCAATCAAACAATTAGTGTAGAAGCTAAATTTTAAAGTTTCTAGTAGGGGAACCTTTAGTGTCAGAACCATAGCTGAGCAAAGCTGGTGTTGGGAGGGACAGACGTGGTTAGAATAATTCACTGGGGTAATCATCACTTCTAACTTGTGCTTATGTGAATAGTTGTGTTAGGGGTGACATTGTTCATCCTAATTCTCTATTTTACTTATTTTACTCCCTGTTCCAAATCTTTTACTGTCTATTTCTTTCCTGCTAATTAAACCAAACTCCTTAGCCTGACTTGAGAGCTCCTTTCTGAGGCATCCCTGGTCTGGTCTCCTGTATTCTATTACATATTTACGAGATAGTTTCAGCCAGAATAAACTACTGTTTCTTTTTTTCTTTTTTTGTCTTTTTTCATTTTTATCGGTACCAGGGATCGAACTCACGACTGCCTGCTTGCAAGGCAGGTGCTTATGCTGCTGAGCTAAATCCCCAGCCTTAAACTACTGTTTCTTGACCAGACCCTGCTTTTGGGCTATTCATTCAGTCACAGATAATTCCCTTTTCAACTGCATTCATTCTTCAAAGCTTAATTTTATTATCTCAAACTTCTCCAAATTATCAGACCACTTTTCATGTATTTTTTTTTTTTTAGACATGGTCTTGCTATGTAGTCCAGGCTGGCCTTGAACTTGTGGTGATCCTCCAATCTCTGCCTCTTGAGAGCTGGGATTACGTGCATGGTCCATCATGCCCAGGCGTGTTTCTATTAGTTAAAAAGAATTATTAGTACATGTTAGTATAGTATGTACATCCTTCATGGGGAGCAGGTATATACACATATCACATTTTAATCCTTTTTACTTCCTTTTCTTTTCCCAGCCCTGCTTGTATTTCTGCTTATGTCTTTTCCTATTTTATACCATCTTACAAGATCATGGGGAAGGACCTGTTTTTTTCTCTTTGTGTTTCAGCCCCTGGACAACTACTTTGCTCAGTAAAGAGTTCAGAAATAAATTAACTGAATGAATAACTAATGACTAAAATTGACTAGAACAACTGAATTTATCTCAGTGGCAAAGCTGAGATATGAGGGGAAAAGAAGGCCACTGCACAGGTACATTGCTGTGGTTGAGTTAGTACATTTATGCTGAGTTTCTAAAATTACACTGTTCTCAGGTTAGGTTTTTTTTTCTTTTCTTTTTTTTTTATTGGTACCGGGATTGAACTCATGACTGCCTGCTTGCAAGGCAGGTGCTTATGCCACTGAGCTAAATCCCCAGCCCCTCAGGTCAAGTTTTGATAGCTTTGAAGTGCAGGATGGGGCACCAAATTCTTTTCCTTTTTTTGAAGGACTGTGATTGGAAGAAAATGAATCAAAGTTACAAAGCTGGAATGCTTTTGGCATTCTAGACCAGCAGTGGGGTTTATTTTAGCCGCTTGCTTCTGCAGGATGGAGCTGCCAAGGTAACCTGCATGGCCTGGTCCCACAACAATGCCAAGTTTGCTGTCTGCACAGTGGACCGAGTAGTGTTGCTGTATGATGAACACGGGGAGCGGAGAGATAAGTTCTCCACCAAACCGGCTGATATGAAGGTGAAGAGTGCTCAGGGTACCTTAACCCGTTGATGGGCTCTTACAAACGTGGAGAATGTCTTAAACTACCTTCTAGCGATGGGCACAAGAAATGGCCTACCCTTTGTGTTCTCAGTATAAATCTCTTTTTATCGTGCCTCTTTTCTTCTTTTTCCTTTCATATCTATTCATGATTTCTCTTTTTCTTTTTGTTTTCAGTACGGCAGGAAGAGCTATATGGTAAAGGGCATGGCTTTTTCTCCAGATTCTACTAAAATTGCCATAGGACAGACTGATAACATCATCTACGTCTACAAGATTGGAGAAGATTGGTGAGGACAGAGATTGGAGGATGAGATGAATCCACAAAGAAGGGGAAGCATGAGAAATGTCTCCGTGTGGGAGGAAGAGAAAGGATAGGGAGCTGAGCTCCAGGAGGGGAGGCGATAGGCTTTTTGGAATCTGTTGCCGTTGCCTGCAGGCCTTTCCCTGTCCCAAGTGTTCTGCGGTCCCATCCCTGCAGGAAGTTAGGAAAGTCGGCAGAGGCCCCAGTCTGATGCTGTATCTTTGCTTTGTTCCTGAGCTGCTGGGGCTTCCTCTCATGCCTGCTTCTGGGGCTCTTCCTGGGGGTAGGAAACACTAGTGTGCTAGGAAAGGTATCTGGTCTTTCTTTTTTTCCTTAGCATCCCTCTTGGCAGGGTATTTAATATAGTTTCCTTCCTTGTATTTGACAGGGGTGACAAGAAAGTCATCTGCAACAAGTTCATCCAGACGGTAAAGTTCAGACCAATCCCTGGGAGCTTAAGATGAGCAAACATATCAGTATATTCACTTTTAAATGGAACCAGGAATTGCATTTTCTAACATATGAATCTGACTTTTCCTACTTCAAGAATGGTGTTGCCTAGATACCCATGGTTATCTGCTTCCCTGCTGGCAGCTGGGTCCCCTCCTTTCCTTCCCTATAGAAGTCTGAGGTAGTAGGGTGCGGTGGGTGTCCAGGTTGTTATAAATGTGCCGACCACATAGACAGGACCCTCACCAACATTTCCTTCATACAGAGTGCAGTTACTTGTCTGCAGTGGCCTGCAGAATACATCATTGTCTTTGGACTGGCTGAAGGCAAGGTAAGGAAGGAAAGAGAAACCCCAAGAGGTGGTGAGTAGCGATAATGGGTCTGAAATGGGGAGGATCCTTCCTCTTCTCCCTTGCAGCCAAGTTGTATACTAGGGAATAATGGACAGGGACCAGTTTTGTGTGTTTGGGATTTTTTCGGGGCGGGGGCGCCGCTGGGTGAAGTTGAAACTAACCTAACCTGACTTATATCCACCCTCCCACTTTCAGGTTCGCGTAGCAAACTCTAAAACTAATAAGTCATCTACCATTTACGGGACAGATTCTTACGTAGTGTCACTGACCACAAAGTGAGTATGAAGGGTATAGCAGACGAGTAGGAAATGTGAAAGATGGGGAGCCCTGGTGGCAGGAGGCCCGGGTAGGGTAATACGTGACAGAGGCAGGGGACCTCCTTGGAAAGATGAGATAATCTCGCCCCCGTTTCTCTCCCTTCCCATTTCTTTAGCTGCTCTGGGAAAGGCATTCTCTCCGGTCATGCAGATGGTACCATCGTTAGGTATTTCTTTGATGACGAAGGCTCTGGAGAGTCACAGGTATAAATAAATGATGTTTTGCTGTGAGTTAAAGGAAATAGCAGGAGCTTCCTGAGGAGGCTGGACGTCTAAAGCACTGAGGGGCAGGGGAGGAGTGTGGAGGGCGAGACTTTGCGGGGGAGACAGTTGGTACAGCCCCCGGTTCATGGGAAGAGAAGATTCAGGTGGCAGAGACCGTGGCACAAAGCGAGGAAAGATTCTGAGGCGAACAGAAAATGAAAATTAGTTTCATTTATGTAAAAGAACATTTGCATGTGTAGATTCATAGAAAAAAATTAACTTTTCCTTGGGAAAGAAAAAACATAGAGGTATAAGGAAACTTTGATATTTCATGCTATAGGATTCAACATGATTTGAATCGTTTATATTATGAATTATTTGTATAATAATTATTAAATCTAGCCCTCCTTAAAAAAAAAAAAACAGCCAGAAAATCTGTGAACCTAGCGAGTGTCAAATAATGTGTAGTGAAGCCACTGCTTTTGGTGGCTTTTCTAGATACACATCATAGATCACCACTATCCGGAGATCTTTATAGAGCACAAAGTCAGCAAGTATCCATAGAGGGGTGGGAAGATGCTGGAAGAAAGATTTCTGCAGGATATGATGGCCACGGTGGGTTTATCAGGTGCTAGGAATGAGGAATTTCTGGGGTGGAGTCCTAAGTGTGTGACTGAAATCCTCTGCGTCTGTCTCAGGGGAAGTTGGTTAACCACCCATGCCCACCCTATGCCTTGGCTTGGGCAACCAACAGCATCGTGGCTGCTGGCTGTGATCGGAAGATTGTGGCCTATGGAAAAGAAGGCCACGTGCTGCAGACGTTTGATTACAGCCGTGACCCGCAGGAGCGGGAGTTCACCACGGCTGCAGCCAGTCCCGGGGGTCAGTCTGTTGTCCTGGGAAGTTATGACAGGTGGGCACCCTTTCCCTGTGAACTCTCTGCTTTGCTAAATTATTCTCAACAAGAGCGGCAGGCTGGACCAAATGAAGTGTGTGTCTCAGGGATTCTCAGATCATAATCTGTGCTGGTTACTCTTCCTGCTCCCGCCATCCGTGGGCAGCCCAGCAGGGCTAAATGCAGCATACTTGTGTTTTGTCTCTGTGCTTCTCGCAAGGATTCCATAATAGAGTTCACTGCCACTTCTATGTGCTCTCACTGCCTCTTTCAGATCACTGGCTCGGAGTTTGTCAAGATATATTACCATTTATCGCTTGTACATATCTAGCTATATTAAAAGAGTCCTTGAGAACAGGGCTTATTATCTTTTTATCTCTGGTGCTTAGATAGCGTCTAGTGCATATAGTCAGAATGTGAGTAGAGCTTCATGAATGAATGAATGGAACAGCAAAAAAACCAGCAAAGATCTGAGTCCCATCAGTTCATTCATCATTCATTCATTCATTTGTTTGAGACAGGGGCTTGCTCTGTAATCAGGCTGGTCTTGAACTCACTCTGTAGCCCAGGCTGGCCTCAAACTCATGCCAAGTCTTCTGCTTCAGTCTTCCAAGTTCCGTGAAGATTGCTTTGTCCGCCACTCCCTGTCAGTCCTGTGTGTCTGTCCCTTCCATGTTCATGTCTCATGTAGTTTTCTTCTCTAACTCCTACCATTTCTCTTTTCTTTTCCCGTGTTTCCTGATCTTTTGTTTTCTCTGCTCCCATGACTTACTTCATTTAGTTTTGCCTTGATTTCCTTTGCCCCTCTTGCTCTCCCTGCTGGAGTACCCAGTTTATTTGTTTTCTTGTGTTCTCTTTCTTCTCTGACACAGCAGATGTGATTTTTGTCAGTTACTCACTTATTGTCCCTCTTTTGCTGAACCTCCACCTCTTCTAAAAGCCCTCTGTCTTATTTCAGACTTCGAGTGCTCAACTGGAGCCCTCGAAGAAGCCTCTGGGAAGAGGCGAGGCCCAAGGAGATCGCCAACCTGTACACCGTCACCGCCTTGGCCTGGAAGCGGGACGGGTCGCGGCTCTGTGCGGTATGTCTCAATCCTCCTCTCTGAAACACACTTCCCTGGAAATAGGGAATCTTGCCTTTCCTTTTGATTCCTAACTGAAAATTGAGTGTTCAAGAGAAACTGATGCTCCATTGGAGGCCACACAGGGGCAGCACTGTGTGGCAGGGCCAACTTCTCCCTCCCCCCCCCCCCCCCCCAGTGATCCCCTGAAGTCCTGGGACCGCCACCTCTTTCCTTTTGGTACTTGCAAAAATTGCCAGCTTTTCTTTCCATTCTAGAGCCTAGGATTTGAGGTTGACCCTGGACACTCTCTTTGGGCCCATCTACAGTGTACGTTGCCCTGTGTGCTATCACTTTTTCTTCCAGGGCACACTCTGTGGTGCAGTGGAACAGTTTGACTGCTGCCTCCGAAGAACCATTTACAAGAATAAGTTTGAGCTGACCTATGTGGGACCCAGCCAGGTGAGAAGCTGACAGCCTGCTGTGCTGAGATTTTGCACGGTTCCTTTATCCTTGTAACAATTTCCTGCCTCCTGGCTGCAGCCAGTGTCAAATTAAGCTTCATCCCTCTGGCATTCTCTTCTGTTCTGTTCTGTTCTGAGGACCCAAATGTGTTAGGGAAACACCCTGGAAACTTTCTTGCTATTGTTCTTCCAGCCCGTCTAAAGAAGCTTAAGCACTTGGCTTGAGGGGTTCAGATATTCCTGCTTCCGTCTCCCTAGTTTAAAACTTTGATCCATGGGATTACATGTGAACGCTGTCATTTCAGGACCTCAGAACTCACTGTGTATTCAGATTTAATTGCAGTGTTGGCACTTTCCATAGTGAGTTTGGGTTGTAGTTTGAGCACTAAAAGGCTCACTGTCACTGTTCTAGAATCATATACATACTGAGCAGCAAAAGAGATGATACATGAAACATTTCCACATGTCGTAAATCCCATGTAAATGTAAAGTGTCCTCATTAGCAATAGTGCAGAAACAAGGTCCTGTGTTTAGCACTGTGGAGGTGAGCAAAGGGCATAGCTTGCTCATTTCTTTTGCTGGAGAAGCCTCAGAGTCTCAGACTTGTTCCTTACCAAGGTGATTGTGAAGAACCTGTCATCGGGGACCCGAGTGGTGCTCAAGTCTCACTATGGCTACGAGGTGGAGGAGGTGAAAATCCTAGGGAAGGAGCGTTACCTGGTGGCTCACACATCAGATACGCTGCTGCTTGGAGACCTGAATACAAATCGCCTTAGCGAGGTAGGAGCCAAGAACAGCAGGGTGGGGAACAGAGCATTTGGATTTCTGGGCACCCCGGGACTTGTTCGGGGTGGTGGGGGATAAGATATCCACAGGAAGCTTTAATATTCACTCTAATATCTCAGTCCTGGTTTTAAGGAATGTAAAGTTTAGTTTCCTGGAGAACAATTCATCGTAGTTGGACTATTTTTGTGCTATCTCAGAAACAAAAGTCCGACATAGTGCCTTTTGTGTAATGCCAAAAATTCCCTAAACGTGATCTCTCTGCCTCCTCCCTATAATTCTTTCAGCTTCATTTTACATAATTATCCACACTGTTTCCCTCTCTTCCTTTTACAGGTAGCCTGGCAGGGATCTGGCGGCAATGAAAAGTATTTCTTTGAAAATGAGAATGTGAGTAGAGCTTCATTCAGTGTCACCATCGTGGTTAGCCCCCTTCCAGCTTGTGTGTCAGAAGGAGGATGAGTTGCAGAGGGCAAGGAGATAGCAGATAAAGCGGAGCATGAGGCAGGGGAACAGAACAAGGAGAAGAGCAGGAGTCGCCTTGTACCCGGGCCACCTCCCCGTGCGTTCTTCACGCTGCGGCCCCTCCTCCCAGGTGTGTATGATCTTCAACGCTGGCGAGCTGACGCTGGTGGAGTACGGGAGCAATGAGACCTTGGGTTCTGTGCGAACTGAATTCATGAACCCTCACCTCATCAGGTAACCTCACCAGGGTCTCTGAAACCCTGGACCTCAGAAGAATTCCTTCTGACTTCCAAATTCTGTGTCCTTCAGTGACTCTGAAGACTTCATCCCATAAGGCACAGGGAGCCCTCCGTGAAATGGCAGGCCAAACCCATTTCCTTTACTTTTACTCTTCGTGCTGTGTTTCAGTGTCCGTATTAATGAGCGGCATCAGCAAGGAATGGAAGATAACAAGAAACTGGCTTATCTTGTTGATGTTAAGACCATTGCTGTAGGTAAGGCTCACAGCTGTAATAATCAAATAGATGCTTGTATTGCATTTCCGTAGTACAAATGGGTTTGTGTTTAGTGGGAAACCTAGGGATCAGAGAGGCACCAGGGAAATATATAGACCCATTTTTACAGTGGCTGTGTGAAGTGTTTCAGTCCATACATGTATATATCTAAACCTAGATATGTAGATATAGATACATAGATGTATATTAGAGAGGCCGCCCCTGTAATTACCCTGTTCTCTAAGCACATATCTTAGGGCAGGCAAATTATGAATAGTACTAAAGAATCATGAGCAAATGTGTGAAGTTTCCTACTTAGACTTTGCAGAACCATGACATTTTGTGTTTTGTTTTTTGAGAAAGTTTCACTGTATAGTTCAGACTCTTTGAACTTACTGTGCAACTCAGGCTGACCTCAAATTTGGCTATCCTGCTGCCTCAGCCTCCCAAGTGCTGGGATTATAGGTGTGCACCACCCACCCAACTAGAGCCATAGATTCTTTAAAATTAGACGGGGCTTTGTTTTATTATAGTTTGCCTTTAGTAAGCAGTAGTAACAGAAACTTTAGTTTCATTTCACAAGTATCTGTATTTATAAATATTACTTTTCTTTTTTTTTTTTTTTTTTTTTTTTGTACTGGGGATTGAACTCACAACCTCACACTTGCCAGGCAGGTGCTTATGCCTCTGAGCTAAACCTCCGGCCCTTTTTTTTCTTTTTTGAAACAGGGTCTCACAATACAGTTCAGGCTGGCCTTGAATTCATGGTGATCCTCCTGCCCCAGCCTCCTGAGTGCTAGAATTACAGTGTGTACTTCCATGCCTGGATTACATATTAATTTTTATCATGAAAAGTTTTAAGCCTAGAAGAAAACACAGAGAATAGTATACATCCCCAAAAGTATATAGAATAACATGTAGTGTAGCTACTAAGAATGGACCATGGAGCCAGGTGTGGTGGCGTACACCTGAAATACCAACTCATGGGAGGCTGAGGCAGGAGGAGCCTTGTGAGTTCAAGGCCAGCCTGAGATACAAAGTGAGTTGAAAGCCAGCCTCAATTGCATAGCAAGACTGTGTCTCAAAAAGACCAAAAACAAGGGGAAAAAAAAAGAAAAGGACCGTGTACAAGCTGGAATAAACTTTTCCTCCTTTATAAGAAAAAAAGAAAAAGAATGGGCTGGGGAGTTAAACCCTCCTCTGTCGATGTCGCTCCTGGCCGGCAGAAAGGACACACGACAAAGTCTGGCAGTGAACAACCTTTTCTTTTATTTTCCTTCTCCGTACAGCCTGCCCTGGGATCGCTCCCAGCCAAAGCCTCCTTTGGTCCGCTCCCCGCGGCTCCTTCTGGGCTTCTACTTCCGGGCTTCTTCTTCCCCCCCAGGGGTGGCACCAGTATATATACGGATACAGTGTCCAATCATGTTAAAGTAAGCAAGGCAAGCTGATTGGCTAACATCATCAGTTGCCAGGCAGACTATATTGTTGAGCGGGTTGCTTACGCGGTAAGCAGGAAACTAACGTGCTCGATGGGAGGGGTAATCTACCTCAGGCTTTACTCTTTACTACAGGCCTCACGTCCGCCAAGTAAGGCGACCGGGCTCGGGGCTGCGGCTCCCAACATCTCCCCCTTTTTTATTTTTTATGAATGTGCGCATCGTAGCCCTTCCTGGACTGGGTGCAGAGGCTTATGCCCTATGTGTAGGCCCACCGTAGGTCCTTGGCTTAGACCCTGGTCGGCCGTCCCATGGTCCGCCAAGGCCCTGAGGCCCTCGTCCTTTTTTTAGGGCCAGGCACAAACTGGACGGAACCTGGATGCACACAAGCTTGCACTCATTTTCTCTCCGTAAAGAAATCCCCTCGGAGAGAAATTTAGACCTGGGCAGCATCTAACAGTCCAGCGGCTTACGTGCAGAATGGGGTAGGGCCTGGCTTAGGTTGAGTCGCACCGGGGGAGTACGCTCTTACCCGTCATTGACTCTCCTACCCAGCTATGTCATAATTTTTTAGAGGAGGAGTGTGGGAAGCTCACCGTCCCTAGACTCGGTCGTAGGCTAGGCGAGCGAGCCATGCATATGTCTGAGGATCTTCTTGTCCATTTCGGGCTACTGCTATTTCTATTCATCTTGTTGGTTGGTCTGTGATGGATCTCCGGTAGGGCAGGTCTGATCTTCAGTCGAGGGCTTTGTCGCCCGTGTCAGTCTCTCCGGTACCCACAGTGGTTCTCGTCCCGATTCCTGTGGGAAAACACAAACCGCGCCTCGGTTCCAGCTGACCACTGGATCCGGGCCCATCCATTGTCCTGTCAGGACATCTTTCCACTTCACCCACCCTTTATGGTTGGGGGAAGGGTTGCAGTGCTCCACGGCTGGGGAGCAATTATCATTATTTAAATTTAAAAAATTGTGTGTGAATAGTGCCATGGATAATCGTGCCTTTGGGGCCAGGCCTTGGCCTACTCCCCCTTTTTGTTTTTGTAAAATTTCTTTGAGGCTTTTATGAGCCCTCTCAATGATTCCTTGACCTTGGGGATTGTATGGGATACCATGTTTTAATTGAACCTCCATTATTTTGCAGAACTCATTGAAGGCTTTGCCTATATAGGCTGGTCCATTATCAGTTTTTAATATTTTTGGTTTGCCCCATGCGGCCCAAGCCGCCAGGCAATGATTGATCACATTAGACACTTTTTTACCTGTTTCTGCTGTTGCGAATATGACGTGAGAACAGGTGTCTGTGGAAACATGAACATATTTAAGAGTCCCAAACTCCTGTATATGTGTGATGTCCATCTGCCAAACATCACCAGGGATCAAACCTCGAGGGTTTACTCCCATCGGTATGGCAGGTTTGTATGTGCACAGGAGTCACATAGTCGCACGATATCTCGTGCATCTGCTCTGGAAACATGGAAATGGTTTGCTAGTGTCTTGGCATTGACATGAAACTTATCATGGAAGGCACGGGCTCGCTCGATTGGTGTTAGTAAGGTAAAAATCCATAACGGGCGAGTGGCAGTATCAGCAGCCGCATTCCCCTGTGTCATGGGCCCCGGCAGGGATGTATGTGCTCTTATGTGGGTGGTGAAGACCTTATGGTGTCTGTTCTGAAGCAATGTCTGGATAGACAGGAACAGCCCAGCCACTGTGGAAGTGGATCTAATTAAACCGGCAGTCTCAAGCACTTGCATAGCATTGACCACATACCTAGAATCGGAGACCATATTAATGGCTTCTGAGAACCGTTCAAGAATCATTTTAACGATCTGCAGTTTTACCACCTGAGGCTGATCAGGTTTAAATTGTATGGTAACCGGGGGCTTGCCTAGGATCACATAGGCGCCTATCCCCGTCTTGGAGCCATCTGTGTATATTGTAGTTGCTGGGACTAATGGCTCAGAGGCAGTAACCTTTGGAAAAATTATAGGGTGCTGAGTGACAAATGACAAGATAGGGTCTTTAGGGTATTGATTGTTTATATCCCCATGGAAAACACATCTCAGAATGGCCCATGTATCTATGCAGGCAGCCAGGGTCTTGATCTGGCTGGCGGTATAGGGTACTCGGATGGCTTGTGGTCCTGAGCCAAAATGTTGGACAGCTCTATCATGCGCTTCAAGGGCCAATGAAGCGACTGCCTCCGGGTAATGCTCTATGACTTTTGTAGGTGAGACCTTAGGGTGTATCCACAGTAATGGTCCTTTTTGCCAAATCACCGCTGTGGGCTGTAGACTAGTCTGTAGCAAACAGACATCAAAGGGTCGCCCTGGTTCAATTTTGTGTAAGGTAGCCCCACCTAAGGCTTTTTTCACTCTCTGTAAGGCAGCTCTTGCCTCAGGAGTGAGCCTCCTGTGGGAGGCTATATCTGGGTCTCCCTTCAGAAGGTCGAACAGGGGTTTGAGATCTGAATTTGGTATATGTAAATATGGCCTAATCCAATTAATGTCTCCCAATAGCTTTTGCATGTCATTTAGGGTCCTAACGCCATCCGTCCTAATGGTGACCTTCTGTGGAGAGACTAGCATAGGGGAGATTTTCGCGCCTAAGTAGGTCACCATTTTTTTTCCCTGAATCTTGTCGGGGGCAACATGTAGATTGGCTTGTCTCAGGGCCTCGACCAACTGGCCGAGCATATTATTTAGCATGTCTGGGTCCCTGCCGCTGAGCAAAAGGTTGTCCATGTAATGCACACATCTTATCTTGGGAAAGGATTTCCGTAGGGGGGCCAGTAGGGAATCAAGGTAAATCTGACACATAGTGGGACTGTTGGCCATACCTTGGGGCAGCGTTATCCACTCGTATCTGAGATCAGGGCTTTTTTGGTTAATGGTGGGTAAAGTAAAGGCGAACCTATGAGTGTCCTCTGGATGCAGGGGGATTGAGAAGAAACAGTCTCTAAGATCTATAACATAAACTGGCCAGGACTGAGGGATGGCTGAGAGAGCTGGCAGCCCCCTCTGGACCGCCCCCAGGGACTGTATCTGCGCGTTGACCGCCCTTAGATCATGGAGCAGCCTCCACTTGCCAGACTTTTTCTTAATTATAAAAATGGGGGTGTTCCATGGGGAGGTTGACGGCTTAATGTGTCCTAATCTAAGTTGTGTACTGACTATTTTTGACAAGGCTAATAGCTTCTCCTTAGGCAGGGGCCACTGAGGTACCCAAACCGGATCATTTGACCTCCAGGTGATTTTGATCGAAGTGGGTAGGAGAGCTTCTTCAGCGGCCCCTAAGAAAAACCCAGCCCTTGCCTACCTTTTTTGTTCTCTACTGGTATTGGGGATGTCCGACCCTGTAGGGCATTGCCCAAGCCTTTGCCGGGGGTATATCCCTGGTTCCTGAGTATATCCTTAGCCTGGGGGGAGCAGTTTGACGTAAGCGTGACATCCATCTGAGTGAGGATGTCCCTTCCCCATAGAGACACTGGCAACTGCAACACAAATGGTTGGAAATGGCCCTGATGACCCTCCTCATCGCACCAGAGCAGGGTTAAAGCACTAA